TTATATAACAATAAATTAAATTAATTTAAAAATTTTATTAATTGATTAAATTAAATTAATTTTAAAAATATTAAATTTTGAATCAAACCACACACAAACATGCCTAAATTATTTAAGTTTTTGGCGATTTAACATAACTCTGACAAGCCTCTCTGTGGCAATAACCGGAGCCACAAACTCGTTTCATCCAATTTGTCCAACCGATACGTGGACATCACTACTGTTCTATCCTTTCTGGCCGAACAAACATGAGCCTAGGGAAGGCAATTCTCCTCGTTCCCCGTGGGGCTCTGCGGGGATCCCCGTTACGGGATGGGGTGGGGAGGAATATTCCTTCCTATGGGACGGGGACGGGGACGGGGACGGGGACGGGGACGGGGATCATTTTCTCCCCGCAAAATTTTGCGAGGAATTTTTTCTGTCCGGTGAGGCCCCACGGAGATCCCCATCCCCGGAATTTTTTTTTTATATATTTTAAAATTAATTTATTCTTTAAACTCAAACCCAAACCCAAACCCAAACCCAAATTTAATCCAATTATAATTAAATTTAACCCAATAGTATCCAACCCAACCCATTCTCCTACATTTAACCCTAACCCTAATTTATTTTAATTCCCATCACTCAATCTCTTTAACTGCAGCTTAACACATCTCTCACATCCATCTCACCTTCAGTTTCCCTACCGTTGCTACTGCTGTCACCGGAGCCATTGCTGCTGCTGCTGGACCATATGCTGCTGCCACCACCGGACCCATCTGCTACTACTGCTGCTGTTCAGCCAAAGCCATCTGCTCTACTGCTGCTACCGGCTGCCACCACCGGACCCATTTGTTGCTGTTGCTGCTGAACAGCCATCTGCTCTGCTGCTGCTGCAGGAGCCATCTGTTGTTGTTGCTGCCGGACCCATCTACTGCTGTTGCTGCTGCTATCGCCACCAGAGCCTGTTGCTGCTGCTACCGCCACCGGAGCCTACTGCTACTGTTGCTGCTACCGCCACCGGAGCCTGCTGCTGCTGCTACCGCCACTGGAGCCTGCTGCTGCTACCGCCATCGGAGTCTGCTGTTGCTACCGCTGCCGAACAGCCTAAGCCATTTGCTTTGCTACTGTTGCTTTGATGTTAATTGGTGGGGAATGGGGATCCCTGCAGGGATCCCCGTTCCCCGTGGGAAACGGGGACGGTGGGCAAAATCTGTCCCTCGTCAAAAATCCTCGCGGGGATCCCCGTCCTCGTGATTCGCGGGGATGGGGATGAGGATGGGGAAGGGGTCCCCGGCCCCGCAGGGCCCCGTTGACATCCCTACATAAGCCTTAGGGCTTGGGTGAAGCAGAGATCAGGTTTCGAACTCTGCTATCACCGTGAACTTCACAAACTTGCAACCTAATGGTCGCGCGTCTCTTTTGAGGGGGTGGATTGTTCATCATTCTGGGAAGTCCCAGTTGTTAATAATTAACTCTACTAACTTCCTAACCATTACCCTTGTCAAAAAAAAAAAAAAAAATGTCTACTCTCTTTCATTTTTTGGCGAGACTAACGTGAGAACCCCAATCGTACATTCAATTCAATTCAATTGTATAGGTTTTTAAATAATAAATATTAATTATTTTATTATTTATTAATTAATAATTAATAATTATTTTAATAATTAAATTAAATTAATTTTTTTATTTTAATTACACAATAAAAAGTAATAATTTCTTATCCATTATTTCTCCTACTCGTATGTCGTACGATTCCAACTTAAACTTTTTTACTTTTAACATAAAGAGATAATTATTAAATTATTTAGAATATTCACAAATTAAATTTTTTTTTGAAAATGAAAAAATTTAATGAGAGTTAAACTTTCGATCGATTAAATATAAATATTAACATTTAAAGATGAATCATTTGATTCAAATGCTTAGTTCAATTACATTAAATATTTTAAAAAATAATATTTAATTTTTTATGTGACTAATAATTTATTATATAATTGTTACCATGCTTGATGTATAAAAGTAATGAAAACAAGATACTTTATCAAAAATAAATGGTAAATGTACATTAATTTTTAACTTTTCCTTATGGTATGTTTGTTTTAAGAATGAAGAGAATGGAAAAAAGAGTTTTTTTAACCAATTAAATTATAATGTCTCAAATATTATAATTTAATTAGTTAAAAAATCATCTTCTCTTGTTCCTTTCATTCCTTTCAAACCAAAAATATACTATTAATCCATAAATCATTGTCTTAACATATAAGCACATAATTTATTAGTATTAGGATGCAATAAAGAAAAATTTTCTCTTAAAAAATTTTAATCTCAGCATAGATGACATGTGATGCATGACTATTAAACCAAAAAATTTGTAGCCCAAAACATTTTCAAAAAAAAAAAAAAAATCTTATCGAAAGTAGAAGATGTTATCAATGTTTCTTTCAAAATAATAATTTTGGTTGGAATAATAATTTTTCAAACTAAATTTTAGAACGAAATTATTT